CTATTATTATCTTTTTTTTTCAGCAGAACAGATTAAACTTTCCTGTGAGTCATGATGTGGTTCAGTTGTTGGCGTTTCCGCAGGTGCACCTCTCTGCCCACTCTGAAAGAATTTACAGTCAGCCAAAAACATGCTTCTTGTCACCTTCGTACAGGACGCTCAAACGAAAACTGTTTCGCTTCACTTGATCTGATCTTATGGGGACGAAATGAATGTGACCTGATCTGACCTCACCTCACACTCAGAAGGGATGTCCTGTTTTAGAGCAACACAGATGATATGGCCCTGTTTAGATCTGCAGTGCTTTAAACTGAATATTAGTGCTAAAATGATAGATGATGTGGTTTATTACGAGCACAGAGGACTGTACATGTATCTACGTTTTTTTTATTGTTTATTTGTTTTATATGTTTGACAAATTGGTATATTTATAATAAAATAAAATGATAAGACAAGCAGTGTATGGACAAATGCAACAATGTCGCTATATATAATTTTTTAATCATTTTATTTACTAAAAATGATTTGATAGATTATGTTTTGTTTTATCTTTTACTTTTATTAATTTAATCCGATGGGCATCAACTCATCGGGATTCTAGTTTCCAAGTTAAGCAGGATGGCATTTTTTACCGATTGACAAAGGTTGATATGAGCGCACAGAAACAGCTCCACACAGTGTTAAGAGAGATTCCACAGAAGCAATTCCAAAGAAGCAATAAGAGCGAGAGAAGTAGCATGAACTCGTGGCTGTTATATATTTGGAAAAATTCATACTCTATACAAACCACTCTTGGGGAACACCGGCCCTAAAGCAGCGGAGACATGTTCCCTGGAGTGAAAGTCTCCAGGAAATTCAAAAGCACAATTTAAAAATAGGTTATTGATCCTGAAAGGATAAATGAATATTGTTTGAACTCTAGGTTTTTTTGTTGTGTTTTTGTATTTATTTTTCTATTTCTCTCACTACTTTTTTTAATGCAAAACATAAATATTTTTCAACCTTCTTGTTGATCTTTTCAGCTTTTAAATCCTGTTCATCTTGTTAGATTCACACAGACTCTGTCATCCTTGCATTTTGCTCTACTTTGCAAACAGAAGACATTGTATTTGATGGTGTAATTCTCACCAGATCAGTGTAGATGATGGAGATCCATCTTGCATCAGAGATAGGGATTGAATCTACTTTTACTGCATGACAAAGCAAAATGTACCAATTTCTAAAGGCTGGATGAGCAAAACAGAAACTCTAGTATGAAAAGATGAAATTAATCTGGAATTCTCTGGCTCTACATGCATGAATGGATCACACACTTATCCATTATGGAGAGACACATGGCACAATGCTTTAATGGTTATGGAGATGACGAGGAAAATAAAGTCTGTAAGAATACAGAGGTTATGTATACCAGGAAGAATGTACCTAATATTTAATACAATCTAGATGAAGGGTGACGGTTAACATAATGGTAAAATGGCAAATGAGGAAGGATGTTTGTGAACTGGTTTGAGTTCCACCTTGGAGAATAGAAAAAACAATGGGACATAAGTGGCGTGGAGAGTGGCGTTCTAGTGGTCAGGGCATATTTGCAAGAAATGCCTAACCATTATAGGTATTACTTGAACATTTACCAGATTACTGAAGTCTTAAGTTATAGAAAGTTGAATATTTTTGTTGTTTTTACAGGCAAAATGGACACTTGTGTTTTAAAGGAAATGTAAGGTGTAGTCAAGGTTCTGAACAAGTGATCAGCAAAATCCCAGTTATTCCATTTGTTTCCAAACATGTAAGATAAGCAAATGGAACTGCAGTATGTCCATCCAAATGTTTGTTTGCCTCTGAAGGTTTACAAAATGTATGGTGTATTCTTTAGTTTTTTTTGTCTTTATAGATACCTTTTGAAAAAATAAAAATCAACCCAGGGTAAAAACAACAATGTCTGCCTTTAATAAAGATGCCTAAACCCAAGGTTCATGTCAGATTGTTTTTTATTTCTATTTCCAGCAGTCATTGGTAAATCTAAAGAGACCAGTTAACCCAAGGGTTATATTTTTGGAAAAAAAAGCACCCATGCCAACACATCCTCAGTGGAACAAGCAAACTATTAGCTTTATACACTTTAACATTTTTTATTTAAGGTGAAATATTTCTACAATTTGGTGGAAAAATAATCTTTTCTGGTTCTGTGAAAGAAGTTTTCTAGTAGAACCAATCAGCAGTTAAACAAGGTTTTTAATGTCAATATAAACAGTCCTAAACTCCACTACTTCGAATCATTATCCTAATGTTCAGATGTGTTGCAACTCATTCACCAAATGTTCTGAATATTTTTTTTCACCCCTTTTATTATTTATTTATCTTTTATTTTTCGTTCCTCTATAGTTTTTAGAGCTTCTTAATAACACAGGGTTAGTGGTTGGCCTTGTTGCTTTGCGGCAGGAGGTTCTCTGTTTGATTCCGTTTTTTTTGCATGGAGTTTGCATTTTCTCCCTGTGCATGCGTGGGTTCTCTCCGGGTACTCCAGCTTTCTCCTAGTCCAAAAACATGATTGTCAGTTTAATTGGCTTCTCTAAATTCTCCTTAAGCAGGGATAAGCATGACAGAAAACGGATGGATAGATGTTTGATTCTCCGCAAAATATTTTTAGTAAAGCCACCTTTTGCTTTAAGAGCCTAAACAGGAAAGTGTCAGCTGAGAAACTAGCTAATGTTAGCTTGTTATTATCTCTTTGTTTTTCATGACCTGATTATTTGGCCCCATTTTTGTTTGTGGTTCTGAAAAAAAATGTGTTTGAAGAAAACCCATAAAAACTTTTTTTTTCTTTTTGTCTCTCTTCATTGGTGGAGCACTGGGCTTTAATGTTTAAGTATTAACTAGAGGTATAGCAGTTTACCGTCCTGCCTACACTGCAAAAATTAAAGATCTAAAAATTACTTAAACATTTCTTAAAATAAGTGTAATTGCCCTTAAGACTTGTAAATACGATAATCTGGGATGGAATGAGTATTTTTGCCCTTAAATAAGGATAATTTGAATATTTTATACTTGAAATATTTTTTTTCTTTATTATTTTAATGTGGAAATCATTGGGGGAGTTACGGTTTTCACACTTTTATTTCTCTGTTTTCTAATCAGAAACAATTTGGAAGTTCAGTAAAGTATTTAATTAGGTTAGTATTAAGGGTGAACCCCTTCTTTTCTCTTATAGGAGGTAGTTCCCCTTTTTGTTTTTTACATGAACATCATTGGTGACGCACCACCTCCTACTTTTATTTCCTGTGTAAAATAATCACCAGCTCACTGGTAAAAACAGTTTAGCAGTTTATAGAACAGAATTTGTTAGAGATTTTAGATCTGTTTTTTTTTTTTAAATGTTAGATGTTTAGGTGGTCTTGACTTTACTGGGACCACTCCATGGGTTAATATGAATGAATATTATTATATTGTTGCTAGCAAATAATACATTTTAGAAAAAAAAAAGATGATTTACTGTAATTTAAATGAAAAATTGAAACTTTGTAAAACATTTTAAATAAAACAAAAAAAGGTACTGAGAGTAGTTTTGCCATTTTCTAATTTATTAGTTTTTGCAAGCTTAATTTTTTGTTCAATTTTGTTTTTAAAAACATTTCTTAACGGTTTTATATTTTTTATGTATTTATTTTAATCAGCTTCCTGTTTTTCAGATTGAATTTAACAAACTGCTTTCTAATCAAATAGCATTTTACAGATCTCATTCTCTTTACTCTATGTAGTGAGTTTTGTTCTATTATTGCTGAAAAAAAGGAACAGGTTTTGTAAATTGAATTTTGAAAAATAAAAAAAAACTGTAAATGAAACTTCAAAAAGGTGTTGCTAAAAAAAGGTTTTCAAAGTAACTGCTGTTTTCTCAGACCCCACTGTAAAAAAAACATCTAGTTTTTCATATTCACACTTTACGTATTTGATTTGCTGAGATCGAGTTTCACAAATTGCTTTCCTTTGAAATGTCATTTTCTAGATTCTCTTCACTTAAGGCCCAAACGCTCACACTTAATGCAAATATTGACCAATGCGATTTTGTTGCATATCCATGCAGACCAATAGAAATGCATTATTGCTCCTGACACCAAAGGAAAGCCCTTCCCTAGAAGAGAGGAGAGTGCGATCTCTGAACAGATATTTGAAAATAATTCTTTAAACTCAATCTCAAATACTAAAAGTAAATTTTAACAAGAAAAATATGTTGTTTTTATGTATAAAAACCTTAATGAATAGAATTTGAAAATATAAAATGTGTAAGAAAAATTTTGGGAAAAATTACTATATAGAAAAAAAAAGAAATGGAGAGAAAAACTAAATTTAAAAAAGAAAATGAACATAATGAAACAGAATTCACACCATACCAGCCATCATCCTCAGGTTCTGGAAAAAAAAAAAAAAAAAAAAAAAAATCTGTATGCTTGATGACAAAGATATCTACTACAAGTAAAACAATGTCCTTGTGTCTCATGTGATCCAACTTTTGTTTCAGATGGTATAGACTCAACTCCAAGACGGGAAAGAAAGAGAAGGAGAGGGGAGACATTCAGNCTGTATAACTGTATAATCATCACAGAAAGTACAATTTGATCAAATCATCTACACAAGGCATGTCTGATTCTGGATTCTGTGCATGTATCCTGTGCAGCGGTTGGCTCTCTTGAACTAATTTCAACTTTATTGTCGACACGTCGAGATTAAACTCAACTTGACATTTCGACTTTATTCTCGAAATGGCGAGTTTAAAGTCGACAGGGCGGGTTTAATCTCGTCATGGCAAAAATATTTTTTCTCTTCATGTGTGGCCCTAATACTCCGTCGTAGAATTCACACCATACCAGCCATCATCCTCAGGTTCTGGAAAAAAAAAAAAATCTGTATATATGCTTGATGACAAAGATATCTACTACAAGTAAAACAATGTCCTTTTTTTTGGAAACCGTGTCCTTGTGTCTCATGTGATCCAACTTTTGTTTCAGATGGTATAGACTCAACTCCAAGACGGGAAAGAAAGAGAAGGAGAGGGGAGACATTCAGGTCACCATCCAGTTCACCAGAAACAACCTGACGGCCAGCATGTATGACCTGGTCATGAAGGACAAGGGAGCCTCCACCTTCAGCAAACTAAAGGAGCGCATGAAGGGGAAGAGGAGATCTAGCGATGATGACTCTTCTTCAGCTGTAGTGCAAGGCGGATACAGCACCCTGCACAGGATGCGCCACAGACTGCCGAGTGATGGCGGAGGAGAGGAGGACTATGAGGACGATGAGGGGGGTGAGGTCCGGCGGAGCAAGATGAGGACCTTCTTTTTAAGAGGGAAGTTACGGAAGTCATCAGACACTCGCTCCAGCACCTCTCTGGGCTCTGAGAGCAGCGAGTCGTCGTCGCGGGGTGGGAGCCTCAGTCCGACCGCTGGAATCAGTGTGGTGGTGTCGGACCTGTCCAACTCCCCCAGCAACAGCAGCAACTTAACTGCAGACAACAGTCCAGGTGAATCACACTGGAAGATTATTTCTTGTTACAACTCGGTGCTGTGTATCATACACTGCAAACAAAAATTTTATCTAAAAATTTTTTTCTTAAAATAAGTGCATTTTGTCTTGAATTGAGGAGGTGAGACAATTTACCAATGGAACAAAACAATTAACATTTGAAATAGAAAATAATTGCATGGTCTCATTTCAAGTGAACATTATCAAATGATCTTATACTAAGAGTAAAAATACTGATTCCAATGGCAGATCATCTTATTTACCTGCTCAAATTAAGGGTAAATACACTTAATTTAAGACATTTTTCACTTATTCGTAGATTTTTTTGCAGTGTATCTTGGATCTACTCAGGTTCACGGTTACAGTCTTATATTTTTCTTTTATTTCAGTCGTGTTGGGAGGTTTGTTTAAATAATGAAGGTTTTAATTTGAAAAAGAAAAAAAATACTGGTGCAAAACTGTGGTCAGGTATTATCTACGTTTTAAAAATCTTCACATAATCTTATTACATTATAGTTAACTGTAAAACTATTCCTAACCCTGACAGAGTTTGATTTATTTTCTTTTTATTTAACCCCAAAGTTTCTGTTTCCAAAAACATGTTTTGCCTAACAGTAACCAAACCCTTTATTAAATTCATAGCCAGCTTTATACATCTTTCCATTGATATTTAGAATAATTTTTCATCATGAAGCACCAAATAGTTGGCCTTTGAAGGCCTCCTAGCCATCATCCTAATCTTCAAATGTTGCCACAGATTCCTAATCTGACTTAAATTAGACTGAGCCACTCCAAAANTTGCCACAGATTCCTAATCTGACTTAAATTAGACTGAGCCACTCCAAAACATGCATTTGAAAGAAGAAACCTGCTGGAACAATAAATATTAATTAAAATTCAGTCTAGGTGATCAGAAAGAGGTCTATGGCCACAAAGATCTTAGTGAAACAAACAAATCTGAAGATTACAGTCTGGTGGCTTCTCTTGTGTTTTTTGTTTTGTTTAGGCTGCAGAAAATAAACATCTTGATAATTAAATATTTGGATTAAGAATTTAAGCAAAACAAAACAATATTCCTACACATCATTAAATTTTAATTGACGAATTTAAAATATTTTAGGTTTATAAATGTTTATATTTGTAGTTTTGTCCTGTTAACTGCTGTAAGTAGGTTATTCTTTCGGTAAATGGACTCTTTTAGGATCTGTGCATCTTTATTTTAGGTAATGTTTCGATTTGGTTGCTAAATTAGCCAATGAATATTTAAATAATCGATTAATCACAATTTGAATAATTGTTTTATTCCCAGTTTTGTTGGCATCACATAAATTTCCAAATGGTTCGGTCGACACCTTTAGGATATGCCTTTAAAAGGATTTATTATCAACCTGCAACAAGAAAACTAGGATATTGTGAATATATTAATGGTTTTAACAAGGGGTGCTTTGATATAACTTTTTATTTTATTATACAATACCCATATTGCACCTTTGACAATTGAACAATACTGATATTGAACCAATATCAACATGAATCGTACATCCCTTAGTAGGGATGTGGAGAGAAAATTGATTTGTCAAAATATCGTGATTTTCTGCTGACCGATATAATATGAATTTTTAATTTCCTAATATTGATTAAAAAAAAAAATAAAAAAAAAAATAAAAAAACTTTTTTACTTATAACAATGAGGAAAAAATGGGCCTCTGCACCGCCACTCTGACAGATAGAGCTGTGGAGCCCTTTCGCTGTGCAGTGCAGCACCATATCTGTAGTTGAGGCAGGCTCAGATGAGCAACATAGATACAAAAATAACTAAATGCTCATTATCTTCTGATGAACATATACAGCACTTGCTTTTTATCTATACACTTCATTTTGATAGCATTTTTAATTTTGATATTCTTCCCATGGGAAAAATATCGCAATATAAAGTGATATTGTAATATTGTGATATTGCCTTGTAACCCAAGTATTGTGACATATACAGTATCACAACACAACATAGCTCTCATCTCTTACTGATCCTTGTATTATTTTCAATGCGTTGAAAATTTCAACAAAAGTTGAGTGTTTCCTGTTTGCAAAAGATTTTAGATGAAGGCCGATGTAATATACTGCATATTTGCTTTTTGGCTGATATTGTATCGATTTCTGATATCAAAGCCTGTTCAGGAAATTCATAGAATTAACCTGAAATAGAAATTAGTGCATAGGGGATTGCCATATCCTGAACGTAAAAAAAAAAAAAAAAGATTCACAGGTTAATTCTATGGATGATTTTAATTTGTGTCTTTTTTAATGCTGTAATCTACTAATATCTTTTTTTCCCCTGAATGATTTCCCCTGAAGAGCTGTGATCAAGAAAAAAACACAAGAAGAGCGCTGAATATATTTTCTAGTATTTCAATTTGGTTTTAGATCCTTGCATTTGTGATTTAGTGCGGCTAGCTTTAATTTAAATCTGCAATTTCTGGGTTAACCTTAACTTTGAGTTTCTCAAAAGGTTTTGAACTTTTCCACTGGGACTGAAACAATTGATACGATTAATTGAGATAAATTGGATTGTTAAAATAATTGTCAGCTAATTTATTAATTGATTAATGATTAACTGGTGTGTATAGACTATAAAACATTACATGCATACTTAGAGCAGTAATTATACCAAAATAGTAAAAAAAATATGAAAACATTTTGCATTTAAGATGGAAAACCTTTTTTTCTGTCAATATGCTCCATCTCAAACTATTTTAAGTGGCATAGTTCAAGCTTCGCCTTGTTTAAATTCTGTAAAGAAAAATCTTGTGAAGAAAGCTTTTGTCGTCCTATCATTAACTGAAAAGTCTAAAAACTTATCAACACTGTAAAGGATTTGGAAAATGATCATTAGTTGAAGCACTAATTTCCATGTTAAACAGGTTAAACAGAGCAACTGTTCTGTGATAAGTTCAGCCTTTCTGTTCCTCCGAATCACTTGCTCTGTTTCAGCTTCAGTGAATCAAAGCATGTTTGGAAATGTTGTAGAATTTGATTTAATGTTTTTCAATTACTTCTTCTATATTTTTCTGCGTCTTTTAACTTCATTTTAAACCTCTTATAGAAAATAGCTGACTGTCTTTTTCACTTGCAGTGAAGATTGTTGCTGTTACTGCTACCTTAAATCCTCAATTCTTTTTATTTACACCTTATCTCTCTGTTGCAGAACACACAGCAAACACGTCTCCTAAATCATCCTCTCTCAGATGTGATTATGGTGATGAGGCTGGCGAAATCACCATTGCAGTGCCGACGGTTTGCGTTAATGGAAGCCATGCATACAAAAACCAGGCCCAGGATCGAGGCTCAGGAAAATCAGCAGGTACTTTAGGCCTGGGACTGTTGCAGAAGTCAATGCCCCACTCCGTTTCACTGCAAAACCTCAGTACCAGGTCCTTCACAGACCTGCCCAAAGGCCCCGGTGGAGACGGGCGTCGCTGGTCTTTTGACAGGGCTGGCGAGGAGGAGAAGGCAGCCATTGCAGCAGCCCTGGAGAAAAGTGGCCCCATGCTGGGTGAAGAAGAGGAGCGGCCAGAACAGGCATCACTGCCAAAAGCTTCTAAGGCGGAGTCGGAGAATCAGGTGAAAAAGCAGAGGAAGAACTTGTTCTCACATGGGCGGAGTGAGTCTGCAGGGAAGGGTCAGAGTCAGTCCAAAGACGTGTCTGAACAGATCTCGGCTGCCACCGAGGAGAGACACAGAGCCTGGTTCGGATCAAAGGAGTCGCACAACAAACCCAGGTGAGATGCTCGCTGTTAGCACATGACATGTCAAGGCTTCTTTAGCTACCATCTAAACTTACACTGATGAATAATGCTAGGATAAAATAAAAAACACTTTTTAAAAAATACTTTGTCGCTATGTTCTCTTAAAGGATGGAAAAAATACATTTTAAACACTTCATCTTTATTGTCATCAGACCAGGTTTTACAAATTTAGATGTTTAATCCTCTGAGAACTAAAAATAAATGCAACACAAGTAAGGAGCAAGTCTATAGCATGCATTACAATAGAGAAATTAATTCAAAAAATAATGCTCTTATATCAAAGTTGTTCATTTGGCTTGATCTATATTTTAAATAAAATTTATTTTTAATGCCAACCTCTATCTTAACCTGTGCTTCACTTCCAAACCTACAAAAATACCCCCATAAACGTTCCCATTTGTTTGCTTACATACTAAACAAGTTAATCGGTGCATTTGGTGACCTTTCAATAGAGGACGTCTGGTCAAACCTGTTCGGTGTGTCACACTGATTGCCTGATCTGCTGAACGCAGTCATGTACATTTCAGTCCCTTTCTAAGATAAACCTGTTCCTCAGACAGCTAAAGAAGTCCTCTAAGGCCACAGTCATAGTAGGTGTTGCTTTATTTTGGTATGTGTTTTCTTGATGGGTGGAGTGCCTTGCAAAAGTTTTCACACCAATTTTCTTCACATTGTTTAAGTATTCTTTTCTGGGATGTATTTTGTGATAAACCAACACAAAGAAAAGTAGAATTATGAAGTGAAAAGTAAATTCTATTTAGATTTAAGACTTTATTAAATCTAAATAAAAGTCCTGGAACTCACTCGGATATTATGCAAGGCAGTGGTTAGGTCTGAGCAGTTATTGGCTTTGCAATATCCTGCATAAATTAAATCAGCTACTGTTCTTAAAAGGCACAGAGTTGTGTTATTTGACATTTTTAAAATGTATACGTTAGTAATAGGGCTGGGTATTTTGGCCAAAGTCCTGAATCGATTCGATTTTGATTTATACAGTTGTAAATCGATTAATTTCGATTCCATCTGTTTTTGCAATAATGAAAGTGAGTCAACTGTGTTTCAAAATACTCATGCATTTTATTTTTTCCTGTCACATTAAATACAAAGTGCAAACTTCTAAATCAGACAGTTTAAACTTGAGGTGTGAACAAAACTGTCTGAAAAGTGCAAACTTGTTTGTGAAAAGTGAAAAAGTGAAGCCTCACTCGAGCAAGCAGACGTGACACAGCAGACATGCATGAGCTGCGTTATCTTCAATGCACAACGCATATTTGCAGCGTTGTCTGTAACAACTACAGCTCGTTTGCTGGTCAGCCTCCACTTGTTAATGTCATCAGTCAAACTATTGGCTATATTTGCAGCTGTGAAGTAATCTTTGTGGTCTGTAGCATGAGATGCAAGGCGCCACTCATTATCAATGTAGAGGGAAGTCACCTTAATGTCACATATCCAGCACATTATCTTTAGCTGTTTTAAATCCAAAATGGTTCCAGACATCAGACTTCAGGCGGTACAGCTTGCTGAGCAGTGTGTTACTTGGGTCAGCATTTGCACACGCCTGCTCATTTGAATGTGAATTATAAAACTAATCTATCTCATTCCCTAGACATCGATTTCGCTCAAATGTAAAGGCATCGATCCAAAATCGATTAAATCGATTTTTTACCCGGCCCTAGTTAGTAACACACTCTGTTTGCATACAACACTTCTTTAACTAAGTACATCATCCAGCTACCATAGTATTTGTTATTTTTGTCTTTTAACCTTTGTTTTTACTCGGTTTGTTAGTAAATGTAGCCTTTCTGTGTAGATTTACCATAAAAACATCATGCGAGCAGAATTAGGTCACTGTTCATGTGTGTAATTGTTTAATAAGGCAAAACAATTGTGGAAAAAAGGAAATAAAGAGAAGGCCCAGATTAAGTACTACCAACTGTAAAGATTGGTTTTATAAGTTTGGAAAAAATGTATGTATACAATTTCTTCCTCAAAAGTGTTTTATTCTGTTATGTTATTTATGTTTTTAGTATTTTTTATTCCTTTTTTACACTTTAAAATGTCAGAATTTGCACAAAATTAGTTAAAAAGATTAAATCAACAGTTACTCAGTCCTTTAGCAGCCATTCAATCAAGTAGTTTTTTACTGTTGAGTAATTTCTTAGATGACTCCTTCTTCCTTTTATTTAAATAAAAAGGATAGTAGATCTGTTTTTAGTTGAGTAGAGTTGTAAGTAAAGGCCGCCTCTGGCTGTCACATACGACCGCAAAGAGATTTCCAGCTAGCACGTACATCCATACATGCAGTAAAAGTAATAACTTTTCTACATAACAGTGACTGTAAAGTCTTGCAACAATGGACTCTGGAAAAGCAGGCTTTGAAGGTCAGGACACGATGAAACCCTGGAGATGAATATCTAGAAAATTAAGTTTATTTCTGGTTAAATCTGCCCAATCGATAGCTGCATTATGCTACGAGGATGCTTTTCCTCAACCGTGACAACTAAGGTAGGGTTATAGGACAAGAAAATCCACAATACCCTTTTCAAAATGCATATTTTTTAATTTGCTGATCATTTTAAAAATGTTTCACCCCCTCTTTTTCCACTTAGCAGTCATGTTCTACTTTGTTTCTCTGTAAGATGACATCACGCTAAAATGTGTGGCTCTAACAAAGCCTGTCCTCTACAGTCTAAAGTGGGACAAACACTTGATGTCAAATACAAAACGAGTTCAGAGCATTGTTGTGGTTTACTTCCTGTGTATCAGTGTTATGAATAAAGCCTCTGGTTACAGCAAGTCTGCAATGCAGATGGAGGAGAGGAGCCACTCTTATAGTGTTAACCTTGTACAGCCCATAATACCCCTATGGAATAATATACCTCTGGCTTGGAAACATGATCTGGAAAACTCACTGCACTCTTTTAGACTAAAGGGTGGATAGGTTGTTCATTTGTCGGTGAGGGGTAGGAACAGGATGAAGGTGTCCCTTTATTACTGTCACATGTGCTCACAGTTAAGATGATCTTTAATTAGTTATTTGGTTTTTGCGGTCTATTTTTAAATTATCCTGAGCTAAAACTTATTTTTCTTTCCAGTAATCTTTTAATCAGACGTCATCTAGCTCTTTCCGAAATATTGCAAAAGTATTCATAGGACACTTTGTCTTATTTAAGCTTTAATGGATTTTATTGGGATTTAGATTAGTAGGCAATAGTGCGTACATGTGAAGGATGAACGGTTCTAAAAATTCTGAAAATCTGAAATGGGTGTGTATTAGCCCTCATTAGGTTGAAAACTGGGGCTGCATATCTAGAGAGGGAAGAAACAAACCCCACAGCATAATGCTGCCATCCCAGAGTGTTGTCATGGTGATGAGTGTGTTCAAGATGAGGTGTAATGTTTGATTTCCTCCATTCATAGCATCTTGCATGTCGGCAGATGTAGACTAAAAGCTTTATTTACACTGAGATATTTGCAGTGTTTTTTCTTTAATCGGTAGCGGCCAATATACACCATTATTTACCATGATTTGAGATCCGTTTGTTAACATTCTACTTGATTTGTCTGTAAATGTGTGTTTCTTGTTTAAATTTAGATGCTAGTGATATTTGTTTGTTTTTTTCTTACTTATGATGTGCATGGAGGTAGACGACGCAATATCACCTAAAGTGATATCGAATTGACATTTAAAAAACTGGCTTTACGCCACATCAACAAAAGCTGTATTTAATTGCTCACTTTTTTTTTCTTGTTCTGATGATTTTATTTGATGATGCTAGAGTAAACGGGGCTGAATAAATATCCAAAGCACACTGAAAGAATATGCAAAGCTTCCATTTTCCTTCAAATTTTTCTTCCCTTTTTTATACTTCCCTTCCTTTGTGTTGGTCTGTGACATAAAACCTTAAAGCTAAAGTGGGTGGTTTTGCAGGGCACTCCATAGTCACATTCTTCAAATAATAACATAAATAGAAGCTCTTTATGCTGGTTGTGGTGAAGTCACACACCCCTCTGCAAATTCTCCTTAGATTCTGAGGTTGGCTCACTGCACCTACATGCCATGGTGCAGAGCCATGCACCATGGCTCAGTTAAAATACATATAACTCCTAACAAAAGTCAAACTTATTAATAGGAGTTGTGTATGTGATAGTCCCTGTTAAAGGACGGTTCTATGCGTTCTTGCAATTTAATTGACTGGTTTAAGATGCAGAAGGAATATCTCATTTTAGTTTATACGCTGCTCTTGTTCCATAAAGCTGTCATCTGCTGCCTTTCTTTTTGCTCTGTGCTTCTGCAGCAGCTCAGATGGAAAGAATATTTAATTTTCAAATTACATTTGTTAGTCTTACAGTATTTGCACTGCTTTGTTTAATAACAGCAGTCATCTGTTAATTAAAAGAAAAGCATAAAATTAGATTTATATGTGACCGCTGAGCAACAAGAGATTCTAGATTAAGGGGCCTTGTTCTGACCTTTAGAGTTTAAAAACAAAACAGAGCAGATGGAAAACGCTGTCAGAGGAATCTTTTTTCCATGTTCACTGTAAAGCTAGTATAAGTTTATAAGGTCTGAATTCTGCCAAAAAGCTCACACGTGTTATAAATACCCAGATGAGCAGTTTAATACAAAACACATGAATATAAACTACACGTCACATGCTTTTTTTTTTTTTTACTTTCTATGCATGTAGCTCACATGTGAGCCCACAATCTATTACACCATGAGTTCATGCTCCTGCTCTGCTCTCTTAATGTTTATGCACCTGTAGATTCTCTCCCTACTCGTCATTAGACCTGTTTCTATGCCCTCTAGCAACTTCTGTCACGTTTAGGGTGGAACCAACCTGAGAAAGTAAACTGCCTGTGATTGGCTACTTTTAAAGAAATCCCTCATGTTTTAGACAGTGCTGTTTTTTTTTTTTGTTTTTTTTTTCTTTTAAAAAAAACCCTTAATTTAACCACCGTAGATTACATCAGGTAACAGTACAGGACTGTATTAAAAACAATAATACAATAATAATAATAATAAATGGGCAAGACTTTATTATACATAGATTTCTTCCTAATTTTGGCTAGTAATACTAGCAAAGCATCCTTATATTAATAACTGTGTTACCACCCAATCCGTACCGGTAGCACGATCCCTATCATCGGCTCATTTACTCAATCAGATATACATCTGGGTCGCCCTCGATTTTACTTTGTAAAAAATAACTAAATTACATTTTTCTCTCCCTACATGTAGTAAGCGTACTAAACCATAATGTTTTAAAGGTTAATAATGTATTCCCAGAGAAGATAAATGCATTTAAATCCTTTTTTATCACTCGTCTCTACCGAGAATGGAATCCTACGCTACTTCCGGGGCAAACTTTTTTGGCTTTGGATTTAAACATAAATCTTGTCTTTTTGAGTTTTCTTTTTTACTTTCATGTTAACCTTATGGTATATAGTGTGTAATCTAAAGAAAGAAAAAAAAACAACAAAAATACAGATAAACAGGGTTTAATCCTATCTTGCTACTCTGAGCATGTCCAATGATGACGTCAGACAATCAGTTTAACGGAGAAAGTGTTAAAGTATCAAAATGTCTCAGAAAAGTCACCAATAATTTTTTTAGAGATGCTGTATAGCATTGTTTATTGATTTAGGAACAAAAATTGACATGAGGGACAGGTACACATGCAAGTAGAAGAGAATCTATAAGCATATAAAAAGCAAGAGAGCAGAGAAGGAGCATTAACTGATGGTTGTAATTTACAGGGGGACCCATGGTCCTGCATTGGTCTGATTTTTCAAAACTGTATCTGCCCACACTCATGGAGTTCAGAACCGAGACCCGACCCGTTATCCGCATTTTTCCCCATTTAAAACCCAGCCGGGACCACACGGACCCGTATATAATATAGTCTGATATGACCCGTCTTCGCAAAGTTTACACACAGCTGTTCATAATAACGGAGGCAGAAAAGAACATTGCGTCACGCTCACATCCAGTGCGCTCACACTGGTAGAATTTTGAATTCATAAAAGTTTAGCATTTGGTTGCGTTATACAGTGGGGCGAAAAATTATTAAATCAGCCACTGATTCTATAAGTTCTCCTAGAGATGTCTGTAATTTTCAACATAGGTACACTTTAACTATGAGAGAAAATGAGAAAAAAAAATCCTAGAAATCACACTGTAGGATTTTTAAAGAATTAATTTGTAAATTATGGTGGAAAATAAGTATTTGGTCACCCACAAACCAGCAAGATTTCTGGCTCTCACAGACCTGTAACTTCTTCTTTAAGAAGCTCTTCTGCCCTCCACTCGTTACCTGTATTATTGGCACCTGTTTGAACCCGTTATCAGTATAAAAGACACCTGTCCACAACCTCAAACAGTCACACTCAACACTCAAACATGGCCAGGACAGAAGAGCTTTCGAAGGACACCAAGAAGAAAATTGTAGACCTGCACCAGGCTGGAAAGAGTAAATCTACAATAGGCAAGCAGCTTGGTGTGAAAAAATCAACTGTGGGGGTAATATTAAGAACATGAAAGACCTACAAGACCACTGATCTCCCACGTGGGGCTGTTTTTCTGCAAAGGGGACAGGAAAACTGATCCATGTTGAGGGAAGAATGAACGGGGCCATGTATCATGAGATTTTAAGCCAAATCCTCCTTCCATCATTGAGAGCCTTGAAGATGAAACGTGGCTGGATCTTCCAGCATGGCAATGATCATATACACACCGCCCTGGCAATGAAGGAGTGGCTCTGTAAAAAACATTTCAAGGTCCTGAAATGGCCTAGCCAGTCTGCAGACATCAACCCCATGGAAAATTGTGGAGGGAGTTTGAAGTCCATGTTGCCCAACATACATCCCTGCTCTAGAAGAGATCTGTGTGGAGGAATGGGCCAAAATACCAGCTACAGTGTGTGCAAACCTGGTAAAGACTTACAGGAAACATTTGACCTCTGTCATTGCCAACAAAGGTTATGTTACAAAGTATTGAGTTTAACGTTAGTCACTGACTAAATACTTATTTTCCACCATAATTTACAAATAAATTCTTCAAAAATCCTACAATGTGATTTCCTGGATTATTTAATTTTTTCTTTTTTCTTTTCTCATTTTATCTCTCATAGTTGAATTGTACCTATGATGAAAATTACAGACCTCTCTCGTTATTCTAAGTAGGAAAACTTACAGAATCAGTGGCTGGTTAAATACTTTTTGGCCCCCTCTACATGTTAAGAAGCTGTCATAAAGAGCAGATTTTGGTTGGTTTTGATCAATCATCCAGGAGTTATAGAAGTACATTTTAATTTTTTTTTTTATCGAAATGTCAAGCAAACCCCTCTACCTCCTGAGAATCTGAGAATTGTGTAAAGGCATACTGTGCAGAGGAAGAATACCAGCAGTGTTTGTAAACACACCTTTAACTCTGCTTTGCTGCCACCTAATGCTGCTTTCAGTATAGCAAAAACTGTTGAATTTCTGAGCTTTATGAGAAACAAATAAAATGTTTTTATAATCAGAACATTTATAAAAATATATATTGCACAGTAAATAAGAACATTAATGTGACTTAATCAGACTACCATTTTTATGAACTCCTTTTTATTCCAGTTCACAACTATGTTCCTTATCATATAACTTGTTAGTTTCTCCTAATTATACAAAGGCAAATATCGTAGTTTGGACAATGTTTATATCTGAAAAAATGTAAAGGTAAACAACAGCTTTGCACTAATAACACTTTTTTTCAAGGGTTCTTTGGTATTTGAATGTGGTATTATGACAATGTTTGTAACTTAAGAAAAGTGGTTTCAATAGTGCTGTTTAAAAAATAAAAAGTAAAAAGATTTTCCAATTCTGAATTCTCATATAAACTTGGCAAGATTGATTCATATAAACAAAGATTTTACTGTGACCTTATAGCCCCAGTTAAATACCATAAATTTATTAATTTGCTGTTAATTGTTGATTTATACTATTATCAATATGATACATACCTGATATATAACACAGCAATGTAATTCCAGTAACCCCTAAAAAGCATACTTAAAGCACTATTCCTTTGAGATCGAAGCAGATTGAAAAGAATCGATTCTAAATTTTGAGAATCAGAATCAAATCAATTATTGTAACTTGAACCAATACCCAGTCCTAGTCCTTCAACCACAGATCAAACAACTCCACATCTTTCTAAAAACAACATATAATTATAGTCTAATACACACATAAATATACTCATCAAGCCCCACATTTTGAAACAATAGTGGATTTTATTTGGTTACCCCAGTTTATGCTAAAGCAATAAACTCTGCATAGTATACTTTTGGAGTGTGATTTAAACAGAATGCTTTTGAGCAATGTTGACAAGCCGAACTAACTGTGAGGACTATATGTCCTTCTTTTCACAGCCTGGTGGTCTCCACTAAATTAGAGCCAAGCACTTACCCCCACCCAACACCTCTTCCACTTACTCGCCACCCCTTGGGTGCCCCTGTTGATCCTACCTCTTTGGTTTCCACACTTCACCACACTAACCCCTTTTGCTGCACACAGAGTACACCACCCCCCTTACCCTGGTGCAACCCTTTCTACTCCCTCCTACAGCACAACCCCTTCTTTACAGATATGTTAACCAATGAGCCACTAAATTCTTCGCTACCTCCTTTGCCTTATCTTTCCAGCTCCCGGCCCCCCATAACTGATCTCTTTCCAAAGTCAAGTGATTCCAATCTGACCCAAGATGACGCATCAGTAGGGGCCACTGACACTACAATGGAGGCAAAAGGCAAACTTGAGAAAAGACCACTTCCTCCGATTCCCTTGGAAAGAGAGAAACCCCTCATTGAAAAATCAGCAAACCCCTTTATGTCTGCTGATGAGCTTGAACTGGGATCACAGTGGGAAGAATCCTTTGATGCATTTGCAGCTGGGAGGCTGCAGTCTCCCGAGGACCTCACCATGGAGTACAGAACACAGCAAAATACAGTCAGTGACCATCCACTGGAACACGACCATAATAAAGGGGAATTACAATCCCACCCAGATGCTGATGACCGCACAAATGTTAACAACACTCTATATCATCAGCCTGGGGACAGGTTTTTCTCCAGTGCACTTTCAGTCCCCAGCCAGTTAAAGAATAATAACACACATATTATTGATACTTTCCCGCCATTCCTTGAAACAATTCCAGAACAAAGAAGCTTTGAAAGTGATGACTCAACCTTAAATACTCCCACTAACTCTCCTGAACTGTGGGATTTCCAAGTAGCTGCACAAGACAAAAATATTCCCAATGATTTCTCTGACACTAACGTCAATAAAGCTCCCTTCAACATCTCATCTGCTCAAATCAATGAGAACAACAGTTCTCCAGACCCCAGCTCCTCCGGGCTCGGCAGTTCAACCGAAGAAGACGGCCTCTCCTGCTTTTCATCTCAGTCTGAGAAGTTTTCTGCGGTCTCCTCAGAAGAAGCTGAAGGCAACATCCCACGCATCAAAACCCCATCTGATTCAGCTGTGGTTGAAAATGTAAAGACCTCTGAGTCAGGAGACAGTCTCAATGACAGGTCAGGCAATCAGCCTTTACTTGACGATGCCAATCAAACGGTTATTCAGCAGGAGGAGAGTCCCGGACAAAAGGTTGTTTTCGACTTCTTGGACGAGTCTCTTCAGACTCCACCACCAACTCTTATGGCATCTGAACAGGAAGCAGAAAGTGAACATGAGGACAATCAAACACCTAAAACCTTTTCAATGAGCCCTGATCTGTTGTCAACACTACAACCAACATCCCCTCTACCTCAGCAATCAACTGATGGCTTGAAAGAAGAAAGCACAGATTTGACTGTGGAGCCATCTGATGAGTTCAACCCTTTTTCTAAGAATAGCACTGAAGGAGTTATCCCCGGATCTCCAGAGGATGAATTTTCTTCAACACTACCATCAGTACACGTCACAACCTCATCCCCTGATGTCAAGCACGATTCCTCGGATTTGACGATTGAGAAGACTAGCTCAGGGGGGCAGGAAGCTAACTCATACGCCCATGTTGATTTGGGGATTTTTGATAATTTCCTCAACATCAGTCGCATTGCAAGCACTCCTGAGCAGGACAGCACTTTGTTGCCAGTACAGTCTGATTATAGTAGCAACAGCTTACTCCATAGCCATTATTTCAGCACTGACTCGCAGGATTATCTGACCTGTGACTCTCAACCGCTCTCCAAATGGTCCAGCTTTTCAGAGCTAAATGGAACCCTGTTCTCAGCCAACTCAACTCTCTGTGTTGAGATGGGTGATGTTAAGGCAGACCCCTTTGAGCCTCTAGGGACGGACAATACAAATCTATCCCAGACTTCCAACTTTGAGATCAACCAGAACAAGACATTTGAAGAATCCCTCTTTGGGGATCAAGGCAAAGCAGTAGATCTGGAGTCAAGCCTCACAGTGGGGGATGGATTACAAGGTTTGCTTGCCCCACTGCCAGGCATGAGCTATAATCCACAGATCCTCAGTGAAGTAGGGGAGGAAAATCAGGATGACTTCCTCCTAAAATGTCCAGAGGGACAACATGCTACACTACAGCGCTCCCATTCCGAGGGGACCCTCACCCCTGCCATTGAACAACAACTCCTACCCTCTTTTGGAAGTGATCCCTGCACAATACAGGAATCCTTCTTAGCTCAACCAGGCCCCAACTTTCCTTCTCCTAACCCCTTTGCTCCTTCTCTAACTCCTGAAAGCAGTAGCTTCCATGTAGCGCTCCCCACCCACCCTCCCTTTGCAACCGTTTCAGCAACCGTGCCGCCGAGCTCAGCACAGGGTGCCGTGCCAAACCCAGATGTGACAGAGCAGCTGCAAGCGGCAAATCCGCCGTGCAGGTGAGGTCACACACGCTCAACGCTTGGTGAAAAGGTGGAGGGCGATTTCTACCCTTCTTCTGGAGACTCCTCCTGTGCCTCTGCTCCGCTTCTGCCTGCATCTATTCTATTACCACTTCTTTGTGGTGTGATACTCCATGTTTCATGTATCGGTGTGAAAAGGACTCTTCTGTAGGGTTCTTCTGTGTGTCCTGAGGTAACAGGGGAGGGGAAACTAAAGCCTCAGGCCAATTAGCGGTTATTATTTTACCTTTGTCTCTACCACTCTAGTTCTCCTTCACGCACACACATACACACTGAACCCCCTCTCCACAGGGACAGCCTGTGTTCTCACACAGCAACACTATTATGCCAAATACATCAACCAGAAATCAAGCTTTCTACACGAGGAAAAAAGGTGTTGTTTTGTCATTTCCTTTTCACCTTGGGGTAATAACACACTTAACACAATTCTTCATGTTTGATTACACCTATGCATGCAATTATATCCTTCATTTGAGGATTAATTTTCACCACTTTCTTCCAGACATTCACACCTGTTTACCCTGCTTTGATCCTAATCAGAGTGAAGTAAAATGTTATTTTTGATTTATTTATTTGGTTCTTTAATCTCTGGCATCATATTGGAGGTCACAAAAAATCTACTATGTTTTAATAAAGATTAAACTCTCATTAATTACTCTGAAGACACTCGAGTAGTGGCTATTAACTGAAAGTCACTACTTCAAGGTCTGCAACACAGGAAGTAGTCTTCCTGTTCTTTATAAAGGCATTGTCTCATATATTTCTTCATGTTGTAACATTGGAGAGCTGGCATGTGGCTGTTTGCTCTCAGAGAGGAAGCCACAGTTTCCAAACAGCCATTGTTTTCAGAAGGAAACATTGTGTAAATGTTCTGGGTGATTTCACAATAAACGCTCAGATTTTATATTTTTAACCTGTTATGGCAGATGTCCAAATGTAAAAGACCTCCAGTATGACCACCAGACTGGTATTGGGCAGGTGATGGATGATCAGTATTTGAACAGGCTAAATGACTCACTGTGTGCATTGCTGTGTATGCTTTGTTGTTGACTTTTAAAGCCCCCACCCGGTGAAGCCCCTGACAACTGCCATGGTGGCTGAGGAGAAGCGGTCAGTGCTGGCCACGGGCCTGGAAAAGCTAAAGTCCACCATTCATCCTGGGAGGAGCAGCCAGATCACTGAACAGGAGGCAGACAACAAGAAGGTAAAAAACAAAAACAAGAAAAATAAAACAGTCATTATCTAATATTGTCTTGGTAATTGTGCAATCTTTTATATTCAATTCAGTTTATTTATAGAGCGCCAATTTACAACACATTTAACCTCAAGGCACTTTACAGTTCACCAAATCATACAGTCAAAATGATCCAAAGTTTTCATTATTTATCTAAGGAAAACCAGTTGATCGCATCAACTCATTGACTCAAATGCAATCCCTCACACTAAGCATGCTTGTAGCGACAGTGGAGAGGAAAAACTCCCTTTTAACAGGAGGAAACCTTCAGCAGAACCAGGCTCAGTGCGAGCGGCCATCTGCCGAGGCCGACTGGGGTTCAAGGAGACAGAAGCAGAGATACAAAAAGTAACTGTAAAAGGCGGCCCTTTCCAGGAAACACACAGCCAGGCAGATGAGCTTCCATGTCAGAGGATGAATAGCACATCCAGCCAGTCATAGTAAGAAAAACAGGATTACACTGAAAAACAGGCCGATCTTCAGCATCTATAAACAAAGGTGTTGATGGTGGTGTCACAGCATCATATATAGTATTAGCTGCACACTCTGTCATCTATTCAATTAGTTTCTACCCGCAATTAGACTTCACCACCCCTAAAGGACATGTTCGCCGGTTTAAGAGACTGCTGCATTACAAATCGGCCAATGCTTGCACATATCAGTCGATACAAAAAAACCAAAACGCTCATATTGGCCAAAATAATCTGCCAGCCAATGCATCGCTCTGTCTCTACTACTTTGTTTTGAGTCTGTCACAATAAATCAAATGAGTACATTGCATTTGTAGCAAAGTGATAAAATGCAAGGCATTGTTCTGTAACCCTAATCTATTTATTTTGTAAATTGTATTTTGAAAAAGAAAAAATCATCAATATAAACTGAAACCTTTTACCATGTCTCTGTCTGCTCTCAGTCTCTGACAGAAGGAGCAGGCTCGTACTACCACCTGACTCACAGCGAACTGGTGGCCCTGCTGGTGCAACGTGAGGCCGAGCTGGAGAGGCAGAAGGCCGAATTCGAACGTCAGAAACTCTTACTGGCCAAGCGGGAGGTGGAGCTGAAGAAGCTTAAGCCTCAGGTCCGAGACCTGGAGGACTACATTGACACCCTCCTGGTGCGCATCATGGAGCAGAAGCCTACGCTGCTGCAAGTGCGCTCCAAGTTGAAATGAAGAAAGAAAAAACAAATGAGGATGCGGCCATTTTAGTTCATCTATTCACTTGAAAACCCCCACAACAGCTGTTTTAGTCTCACTGCTCCGCAGTCCTTTTTGATACAGGGGTTTAGGCACAGAGAGGCCATGTTTTCTAGCCGGCATGCTTCCCCGCTCTGAAACAAATCCTCACCAGCAGGTTTTGTTTCCCGAGGCTGTGAATGTAGCGCATCCTCAGGTTGTCTTCAGGCTCAAGGAGCCTGATGGAGGGTTCCAAACCCAGATGCTTCCAGTTTAGCATCCTGATCTGAATCCCTCTTTCCACTGCGCCTATCACCTTTGTCTCCTCGTCACTAAAGAGTCATAGTTATAGGTTTTAAATCCACAGCAGTGAACACTTTACCAAATGTGGAAATTTAGAAATCTTCTTGCTTTGATTTGTTCAATAACAACAGACTGTCAGATCGGTGCAAGGCATTTTCATGACAGATTTCCTTATTTAAAGGCAGAAGATGTCTGTTTCCTCGTGTGCCTAGAAACTGCTTGCAGGTTTTAACACTTATGTTGAAACTAGAGGTCTTTATCTTTCATTTCAGACAGGAATCCGCAGGTTCTGTTTTCATTTTTCATAAAATCGACTGTTTATCAGAACTTTCTTAAAGGGAATCCCCACCTTCTGCACAGTGCTCAATTCTAAAAGGCAAAGGCAGCAGAGCAAGCCAGTGAATTCAACGTCACTGCAAGTTGAGGCTCGACCACAAAATATGTCAACTGCAGGCAACAATAGGGAGGAAAAGGAAGGAAATAAGCCTGAAATCATTGTAATGCAGTGCTTTACAGCACAAGAAGCCTTAAACCGTTTCTGTCTGTCACGTTACATCTAATAATCTCCAGTTTTCTTTTAATTAAGACTTTTTGTGACATATCAGCTCAAAAAAATTAATAATTGTGAAGTGAAAGGAAATTTGTACTTGCTTTATATTGAAATAAATAAATCAGAAAATGTTGCCGTTAATATTTACTCTGCCACCTTTACCCCGATACTTATAAATATATCCAGTCCAACCAACTTCCCCAGATGTCATGATTTGATCTGGATTTTTTTGCATGTTCAGGGAGGGTTTATTTCAGGATTTCTCTATAATAAGCTCCATCAAAACTAACCTCTGATTAGCTTCCATTGCTTCCTCTTCCCTCACCCTCAACATAATGCTGCCTTTAGTAGTTTTCCATCACTTACGCAGCTGAGCTCTGATGCCTTTGGATTTTTCTTACATGTAACCGAGTTCAGGGGTTCAATTAAATATGCCCCAACAATTTAAGATTTTTTATTTTTTTTGGGATAAAATTTAGAAGCCATATGAAATTTTCCTTTTACTGCACAATTGTCAACCCATTTTCTGTCCCCAGTAAATGCATTGTGGATATTTAAAGGGTAAAATATTTTGCTGAGGCGCCGTATGTTCGAGAAATTCAGTTTGAGTTCGATGATCAATGTAAGAGAAATATACAAAGTTTATTTTTTATTGCCTCCTCACTTTTTTCTGGTAATACTTTCTACACTCTAAGGATATTTTGATTTTTGGTGCAGAGTTCTCTTACTACTATTATTATTATTATTATTTTTTTTTTTTTTTTGACAAACTGTAAGCCAAATGAGACGGATTAGCAGCTGACTTTCACCTGCACATCACTGAGAACGGATGTGAATGTTCAAAAGTGTTCTTAAGCCAATAGGTTTCAGTTTTTAACACAGGATAAGTGCTTGTTTATCTTAAGCTCCTCCCCCCAACGATGTAAACAGAATTTCACTGTCAGGTGAAGACAGTATCGTTCGCCATCTAGATCAGGCCTTATCATCCTTCCTCACACATGTGCGTTATTCACACAGACTGCAGCTCATTGGGGGGGGGGTGCCTGCGACATGCCGCTGCTTGACTTCCCTCCCTCAGTGTCTCTCTTTGTTGCACATCCTAATCTGCTCTGGCATGTGTAGCGCTTTCAGGTGTCACAAAGGGACTGCAGTTTTCCCGCATATACACGTTTTAAAAACGCCAAACGCTGCCTTATTTCATTTTTTTTTTTGGTAATTGTTTCTCTTTACAATTCATTTATCTAGCACTTATTTTTATTTCATTTTCAGGCATTTCTTGAAAACCTAAAAACCATCTGTTTTGCTGAATTCTATTGTTTCTGAATATAAGGTTATTTTGCTTTGTGATATTGGTTAGGTCACTGCACAAAAATCAAATGTATGCATACAAATAGAAAAGGAATAATTACAGTGATTAACTGTGAAATGCCAAAAAAAATCAAATGTAACAGCCTTTTGAAGCTTAATCTATAGAGCTGATTGATTCACCGTAAAGTATTCTGATATGATGCCACCTTAAACAGCATTCGTGGATGTTCTTGCACTACTTATTCGATAGAATAACTGCTGTACCTGTCTTTGTGATATTGGTATAGTTAGGTCAACTTCACGTCGTATTGCACTTTCTAATCGCTCTATGGTTAAGAACTAGGCCTTCTTTCCACACATTCATGATTTGCCAGTGAGCTCAAAGCATCAAACGTAAAAAAATAAATAAATAAAATAAATCACCTTTGTTGTCACATTCGTTCAGCGGGGTGATCTCGATATGAAGGGTTGAGATGATTCTAGAGGAGGTGCAATGCTCCCAGAGTGCAGGAACAACAACTTTCTTTCATGTCTTCCGTTTGGCGAGGTTTTTATTTATCTTTGAATCGACTGTGTTTTATCCTTGAGTGTGATGCTGGTGGAATGTGCTCAGTGGGGTATGTAAGACTGGAACGTTTACAATACGTGATGCAATTCTGTTTCACAAATTTTGTATATTTAATAAAGAGTATTTTGTGTTTCCTGCTCACCGTATCTTTTGTTGTCATTTTCTTTAGATTTTGAAGGTGCAGTAACCTTTTAGTACCTGGTTTTATGCATCTTTTGATTCAGTTTGAGGATTTATTTCGAACTTCCATCAGTGATGGGGAATCTGATTAACCTGAGGAAAAGTGGGAGGATTATCCAGATATTTTTTTTATTCATATCCTTTAGCTTAGTGCTGTGCAGCTCTGCAGCTGCAAGTGGCTCACTGTAACTTCAACAATTGCCTCATGTAATACAATAACAAATGAATTAGATTTTTTTAATATATATCAAATATTATAATAGAAGACAATCCATCCTCCATCATCATAAAACCTTTTTACTTTTGTTTCTAAAGGTTTCCTATATCAGATGTTGTACTAAAAGAAAAATATGCTGATTTGCTAAAGGGTTATAAAATATTTGTGGCCAACAACTTCACTCAGCAAAAGGGCCCTTTGAATTTTTAAGGTTGCAGATCTCTTCTTTAGATGAGACCAACAAAAAACAAAGAAAGATAATACTGTACTAATTCACAACACATGTCATCTCAAGGCACTTTACAGAAACAATTCAACCAGATCATACGGTCAGATTGATTCAAAGTTTCTAAGGAAAACCAGCTGATTGCATTGACTCAAAGGCAATCCCTCACACCAAGCATGCTTGCAGTGACAGTGGAGAGGAAAAACAGCCTTTTAACAGAAAGAAACCTCCACCAGAACCAGGCTCAGTGTTGGCGGCCATTTGCCGAGGCTGGCTGGGGTTCAAGGAGACACGAGCAGACATACAGAGAGAAGCAGTGATGCAAAAGGCAACTGTCAACCAACTCCACAGGCGGCCCCTACAGGAAACAAACAGCCAGGCAGACAAGCTTCGAGCCAGCTCCCACATGAGAGGACAGAGCACATCCAGCAGGTCACAGTCAGAGAAACAGGACTACACTGAAAAAACTGGCTGAGCTCAAACATCTATAAACAAACGTGTTGATGGCAGCAGCACAGCTGATATTTCTCTCCAGGATGGTGTTGAGTCAAACAGGTACAGGCCAGATGAAGCTACTCACAGGCTTCAACTGGTAGTTGGTTCCACAGGAGAGGAGGCTGATAACTAAAAGATCTGCCTCCATTTGAACCATACTGATGGTAAATAAGGTGATCTGCCTGTGGATTTTCTATTTTTGCTCTTAGAATAAGACATATATTATGCACTTGAAATAAGATACATATATATATATTTATTATTCTAAAATATGCACATTTTCTTACCTGCTCAAATCATGGGAAAATACACTTATTTCAGGAAAAGTTGAATCACTTATCATTCAGTGTTGTTTTTGTGTTGATATCATCCTAATGATCCATGAGGAGCTGACCCAAAATATTTTGGTTTCTACTAGAATGTTGAAGATACAAAGGGATATGATTTTTTTAGCATTATAGTGAATCCAAGGATGGTCCAAACAAGCAACACAATGACTTGATGAAAGAAAAATTTATTTTTTGAAATTCCCAAAGTCTGCAATTTAGAGGGGGAGACATGCTGCAAAGGACCACAGGCGGGATTCAAACCCAGGTTGCCTGCATGGATCGTGTGCGCTAAGCACCACCAAAACACGCCCTGTTCTGAAATCTGTGGGTTGAGGGGAAAGATGTCCTCATACATAAATGTATTATTCAGCCATGATGTGGTAATCAGCTTATTTCCAATCAGAGGAGATGAAGTGATGCATGAGAAGTAAGATACTTTACAAATACATTTACCTTGCCTCACAATTACTTTTTTGTTGTTGTTGTTAAAACTGTGTCTATTAAGTATTATATTTTACACCATGTCTTCACATGGTTTAAAAATGACTTTTAACAGCATTTTATTTACACAATTCAAACAATAGAATAATTATTAATGTAAACACGTGTCAGTTTAAAATCACTATTAAGGTAAAAGCAAGTGTCAGCTAGAAATCATTAAATAAGGGGCTCTTTATATTATAATTCTCCATCATCTGAAACTGTACATAAAATTTTGTTAAAACTCCACAACTGAATAAAATCCTCCATGTTCTCTGTGGCTCTTTGGAAGTGAAACTCCAGCCCTATTTTGGCTTTAACATTACACTTCCACAGAGCCACAGCATGAAGGTGAGGTCCCTCCTGCAGTCTGTCTCTGCGGGACAGGTTAATGGCCATCTTTGTTTCACTGATTAAAAAAAATTTAAAGTTAGGCCTTAGGCTTTTTTTTTTTCTATTCTGGCAAACTCTTATAAATAAAGGTGAAGATAAAAGTAAAAGATGGTGTAAAAACGGCAAAGCCTCCACTAGGGGGCTACATTTGCTTTTTAAAATCAGATTAATCCCTGTCCATCATTAGAATATTTTATCCCATCAGAATATACTGGCAGTATGATGGAATCAAACTTGTTTAATGGTCAGTTTAGGTTTAAAATAACAAAAATATTTAACAGATCTTTTAATAGGGGGGGGGGAAATACTCTGTTTTAATGTGTTGGGGATCCCAAATCTTCTGATCAAGTGAATTGGGGAAAAAAAAGCTATTCATTATATAGTAGTAAAGTTATTAAGTGCATTTTAATCAGATTTTTTGTGTTTTAAAAATGCTTTTTACTCTTATTTCCTTTCTTCACAGATATACAGTTGTACTTTTACAATTTTACTTGAAACTCTGATACATTGTTACTCACCATAAATTAAAATATGATCAAAACTTATCACGAAAAGATTTATGGGGAATCGGTATGTGAACAAGAGAAGAAGAGCTGCACTCCTAGTTCACAGCCCTTACTGGTTGGTAGTGGAAATGCAACAAATTGCATTTTGAAAATGTTTATTTGGACATAAGGCAAAAAAGTAAGCAGAAGAAATCCGTATATACACATCTATAAATGTATAGAGTAAATAAAAGTTTAAGAACAGTTTGTAAGAAGCAAATGCTTTCTTAATCTTACTAATTTCTACACACCATATCTATTTCATATAATGTAATACATCTTTATATACTTCTCTATTACACAGGAAAAAACAAGGAAATTTATGATGATATCTATAATTGCTTCACTGGTAATGTCAGAAAAATGTCCTTCCTTTCAGTTAGGGTCTTGTCAAAATGTTAATTTGTGCCAAAATGTGCCTCTTAAAAAACATAAATATTTTTCCTTTTATTTCTCTACAGGGTTGAGAAATGTTGAGACATATCAAGCAGTGAAAATCCTTAAGGTACGTAAAGGGAGGAAAGCTATTCAGATTATTTTCTGTAGTATAGTATAGAAAGCACATTTAAAAAGACTAAGACATTTATACTTCACATTTATAAATGTTCCCATCATGCAGCTATAATTTGATTTTTCATAAATCTACTAAGTCAATCCTGCATTTTATCCTGTGTAAGGAAGCAACCTGGACAGGTTATCAGTTCATCTAAGGGGAACTTAGAGAGATCAACATACAATCTGGACTGCATGATATTGGGAGTTAGCCCATTTATGGGGTGAAATTTGTTCCATGATGGTTGCAGGCTAAGAAAATGTTTTGTGAATAGAAATTTTAAAAGAAAAAACATTCAAAATGCCAAAAATACACAAGGAATTAAGGGGTCCCAGTCAGGCCCATTGTGAGCAGCATAAACTGTTTGTCTCACAATATTGGATTGGTGGTCTGCACTTATACAGCACTTTTTCAAGTCAGGAGACCTGACCAAAGCTTTTTACACTACATTCAGTTATCCATCCATTCACACTGATGGTGTCAAGGCTGCATAGTTTGGAAACTCTCCACACCACATACAAAGCTCTACAGACTTTATTTCCAAATTCAGGCATTTGAGACTAGCTCCATATAAATCCATTGTTTCCTTTGATCAAACCGCTCTCTTCACCTGTATTCCCACATCAGAAGCAGAAAACACAGTCAGGACACAGCTAGAAAATGATGAAACCCTGTAAGGCAGGACAGTTTTTACACCTAACTATGACCTTCTGGACCTCTGCCTATCAACCTTATACTTCAATACTATATACTATATACTATACTTCAAATACAAGGATAACTTTAACTGACAGAAACATAGGAGCGCAATGGGCTCCCCAGTTTATTGTTGTCAATACCTATATTGAGGAGATGCAGAGGAGATGCACATATAAGGGAACACAATCATTTCACTGGTATGTGGTTGATCATCCATCCATTTTCTGTCATGCTTTTCCCTGCTGGGGTCGCAAGGGGTGCTGGTGTCTATCTCCAGCTGTCTACAGGTGAGAGGCGGGGTACACCCTGGACATGTTGCCAGTCCATTGCAGGGCAATGTGCAATGTGGATGACACCTCGGTCAAAATCCAAACCTAGGAAGTTGAGGCATTCACCAATCATATCAATTCAGTGGACAAAAAGTTCACTAGAGAGAATGGCAAAAACATCTTGTCCTATCTGGACTGTCCTGTGAATATTGAGGACAATGGGAGTCTTAATACTGAGGTTTACCGGAAACCTACACTTACCTACAATACCAATACCTTTAGTTTGACTCACATCACCTGCTGAAAAATAAACTTTCTGTTATCAGAACTCTGAGTTACTGGGTCGACAGTATTTGCCTTGTTACAGAGGAGAAAGGAAAGAACTAACGTGAGAAAATCACTTGAAGCATTTGCTCATCCAAACTGGGTGTTTGTTAAGTCAGCTAAAATAACTAGAGGAAGAAAGAACACTGCATCAACCACAGAGGAGAAATTAAAGATGCACAAACATTGTGAGCATCAGGAATTTTTGAAAAAATTAAAAGGATTTTCTTGAAACACACATACATTCTGAATTTCAAACCCAACAACACACCCAGATTATTTTTATGTTTCTTTGTTGTTTTTAATAGATTTTACAATTTCTATATTTTTTTATATATAGAATTTCTGTTTTCAGGTACACTGAGTTTTAAGGAATGCATTGTTTACAATTTGAGTTTTACATATCTCATTTTCTTAAATTCTTGGAGATGTTTTTTTTTTATGGAATGAGGAGCTGAGATGCATTTCTACATGTCCAGTGCAGCTACATGTGCAGCTTTTGTTTTAGTCAAGAGCTTGTCTCTATTTTGAAGTGAAGAGAAGAAAATATGATCTGTGAAAAACAATTTAAAAAGAATGCAATTTGTAAAACTCAATCTGAAAAACAGAAATAAGAGGAAAAAAATCAGCAAAAATTTTATAAAAAAAGCAAAATCTGTAAAAATATATATCATTTTGAAAAAAAAATGCAAAAGATAAACTTATAAGAATTCACTGAAATAACAAAACATGAGAACACAGCAGAGTTACATTCATAACCTGTTATAAAACTATTTTTTCAAAGTTTCAATTGAATTCTAGGTTGCTTTTCTTTTTTGCTCAGTTTTTAAAATATGTGCATGCTTTATTTTTCATTTCTATTTACAAATATAGATTCATTCACTACATGTCCCAAACTTTCAGAGGGAAACTCTATGCTTGGTTACCACAGGAATGGGTTATAGTTTTTATTGTTCTATGTGCAATTTTATATTTAAATTTTAACTTAGATTCTGTTTATGATACTTTTAAATCATAGACTTTGGTTTAGTGCGTTGTGTTGTGTTTTTATCTGTAGCACTATCTGAATAAAGTTTTATGATCTGATAGTAAGATCATCTCTCAGGATGTACAAGGTCATATTTTACTACTATCTTGCAATATTATTTTTTTGGTAAAGCTGAAAAAAAAAGGCACAATATCCTGGGATATGTAGTCAAATTTAATAAGCAATCTACAGTCTGCCTGCAGACGCCAGAACAGGATAACTACATTACCCACAATGCATCGTGGACACAGCGACAGCTGAGTGTTTTGCCAAGCAGCCCTGACGGTGAAACTGTTCGGCGAGGGAAAATAAAGCAAAACTAGATTTTAAAGAATAAAGAGAAGAGTCGTGTTTTCTGGCAGCATGTCTGAGTTCCCACCATTCCAGTACGGAAAGTCTCGTTTCAACCAGGTACTTTTAATTAAGCTTCTACACCTAAAAAGTTTTTCAGAAACTGCAGAAAGTTGTAGAGTTTGGAACTGACTATAAACTGCAAAACAATATGCTCTCAACTGTGATTCAAGCAGACATTAATAATTAAAATAAAGGGTTTTTATCCGCTATAAATATGCATTTGAGAAAGTTTCTGCCCCTGAACAGTGACTCCAACATAGCGAGCTGTTAGAGCTGAAAAAGATGTGGTAAAAAGCAACTTTCTTTTTATTATCTTTATTATTATTACCGTATTGAAGTTGGGTGTCTAAGGTAAAATAGAAGTCAGCTAAGCTTGGAATGTAGGGCTGACGTAATTAAAACCATTAATTGATCTGAAGAAGCGACTTTTATTTCAGCACGTGGACCTTAAAGGGATATTTGACAGCAAACAGCATGAGCGCCTAAACATGAGTGGGAGTCTGTCTTCTATTTCAGAACTTTAATTATTCAATTGAGTTCTTTCTCTTAGATTTTTAAGCTTATTTCTTTAAAACATTTTTTAGAGGAAACAGACAGCCTGATGCCAATCTTTTCACCTCCAAAACACAAAAATCCAGTATATATCCAATGGTGTCAAAAGTACACATATTCGTTACTTAAGTAGAAGTATAGATACTGCAGTTTAAAAACACAAAAGTTGAAGTATCAACTTGACCTTTTTACTCAAGTAAAAGTGAAAAAGTATGTGCTCCAAAAACTACTTAAAGTATAAAAGAATAAAATAACCTTAAAAAAAACAACAACAACAAAAAAAAAAACAGCCAGATGCCACCATGTGGATTAAAAACTCAATTTTATGACTATTTCGAAAAAATTCTTTGAGATAGGGCTAAGGATGAGGGAGGTCTTATTGGTCTCCATCTCCCGATTCCCTCTTGCCTGTTTCCGACCTTTCAGGCATTTCAACATGTTTTTCTCAATCCGACATTGCAGCATGGCATAGACAATTCATATTTGCAGTTTGAAGAACACCTGCTTTCTTCTGATGATTTCCACCAACCAATGAGGGTTTGCGTTATATGACTCATGCAATGACACTAGTTTTCACTAGATGTGGATGGTGCCAATGATCTATATTGGATGGCGCACATGACGTGAAATAAATATTTATAAACATTAAGCCAAAGTCAAGAGTAACAAATAACATTTGTTTTAAAAATGTGAGGAGTAGAAAGTACAGATACTTGTGTGAAAATGTAATGAGTAGAAGTCATAAGTAGGAAGAAAAATAAGTAATGGAGTAAAGTATAGATGCCTTACTTAAGTACAGTAACAAGGTATTTGTACTTCGTTACTTGACACCTCTTTATATATCTAATATTTTTTAAAGTGCCTGCAGTCGGAACACTCATTTTGCATTTCATCCAACTGTCACATTATCCTCCAGGCTCCGGCTACTCATTCATACATATTCCTCTCCAGGGCCACAGTCGCTGCTCCACTAAAACTCACAATAAATAGTTCTGCTCCATTTTAATTTTCTTCATCTTGTTATAAAGTGATCATAACTCTTGACAACATATAATAACACAAAGTTGCCAACATATGTTCTGACTTCTTAAACAGTGTGCTGCTGTATAACATCTATATTGTTCTGCTGCTGGTCCCATAAGGGCTGTAAAAGATTCAGGCTTTGTATTTTTTTGTTGTTACCAGTAATTTCATTATATGCCTTATTGATGTCTTTCTAAGAGCTGTTAGAGCTAGGGCTGGGCGACAAGCCAAAAATAATATCTCAATATTGGATGATGTACACTGCATTTATTTCCAATGCAGCTTTTTTTTTTTTTTTTTTTTTTTTTTTTT